AGTATATATATATACAATGACAATTTTATGTATAAACTATATATAATGAAACTAAAGGTAATTCCTATTTGAATCATTACCTTAAATTTCCAAGCTTACTACCAAGGTTCGACAGGTCACAAATACATGACATGTATCATAATTTATTGATACAGTAGTATAGTAACGGCAGAACTGTGCTCTATTTCTCAGCTATTGTACATTCCCTCAATTCGCTAAACACTTATGAATAGGCATAAGATACGGTTGAAAAATGTAGCTCATAAATAATATTTATTGCATATTATGCATATCAACCTCGCCGTGTGACGGCCGTGTCGAACGGTTTGTGGTAATACATATTCATAAAACCTCCCTGTTGTGACCGCTAAGAAGTGACTACCTTGTAAAACGACTATACCGCCAGAGGTTGAAATAGTGAGATCGTCAGAGATCGTCGATACGTATACGAACGAACAATGGTGAGCAAGATGGGAAAGTGTTTGGTTTCGATTCTTTGTTTGTTTTTTAGCTACGGCCTTGGTAAGCACATTGTTTATTCCATAATCTCATGTTTGTTTTACTGTATGATAAATTTAAAATGATTTCCAAATCCGTGTTAGGGAATGTTATATAGGCCTAGGCCCACATGGTGCACTTACTTACACTACTGCCTGGGAACTGCATCATTAATTTGGCACCTTCATCAATTTGAGGAGGGAACGAGTGTGACCGAGTGGGGTGTAGTTATGGGAAATTCCCAGTGACATCTCTACATACAAAACTTGCGTTCAAGATGCGTTCTTTTCAACATAAGATTGATGTAATGAGACGAGCACGGGCAGTTTTAAAAAGTGAATTATTTCACATATCCGATGATTTAACAAGAATTGATATGATGGAAAAAAGGAAATGGATAAGTGAGGTCAAAAAATTGTATGAACAGAAATACTATCTTTGCTGCTGGTAAATGGAGGGACAGAAATGGTAAACCATTCGCTTTTAAATGAAAGAAATGTCTTCTTTTGTGCTACAATAGTAAATTCCGCAATTTTTTTTAACAAGATTATGACAACATTGTTAAAATGATTTATCCAAATTATGTAAGTTTATTTTGGTCTCTGATTTGCAGACTGCAAGAAGCCTTTGCATAACAGTGGTATTTGTCTAATATCTCTTTGTATTTTATTTATAACTGTTTAAATTTTGTGTGAAAGAAATTTCTTTAATTGGTTGTGTTAAAATAGTAAATAGCACTCGTTTTTTGAACAAGACCATAACAACGTGGTTAAAATGATTTATTCAATATAGGAAAGTCAAAATTAGTTTTTTGTTTGTAGACTGAAAGAAGTTTATGCGTAACAATGGTATTTGTCTAATACCCTCTTGTATATTCAGTCTTTTGGGAATAGTAGAATTGTGTGGTTTATCAAAGCTTGGGGGGGGGGGCGACGCTCATCCAATTTTTTCTTTTTTCGCTGGGAGTTGTTCTCGAGTGTGACAATCGCTTGTATCAACCCGACGGCAATGTGCTTTTTGGCTTATTTAGTTTTTAGTTTCTTTTTTGTCTTGATTGTTTTTTTTTTTCTGCTTGTTCAGTTTTATGCTTAATATTGTATAATATACCAAGTTTAAAGTGTAAAAATGAGTTTAGGTAATTTTAAATTTGCATCCATGAACTGCAGAGGAATAGGGGATCGTAAAAAAAGGAAAGATGTTTTTGATTTTTTGAAATCGAAAGGAAATGATATATTTTGTCTTCAGGACATACATGTCACAAAAGAAACTGTAAATATGTTTAAATCTGATTGGAATGAAGAATGCTTCTTTAGTTGTGGTACTAATCGATCTCGTGGAGTGGCTATTTTATTAACTAAAAAGCTGGATGCTAAAATCCACGCAGTTCAGAGTGATGATAAAGGTAACATTATTGGCATAAGTCTGACTGTTAAGGAGAAACAGTTTTCTATTCTTAATGTACATGGTCCAAATGAGGGTAATCCTAATTTTTTAAGTACTTGAGCGATATAATTACAAAATTTGATAATCCACTAAACATATTCTGTGGGGACTGGAATTTAGTTCTGGATTAAAATATGGATACTCAACATTATGTGCGTTTAAATCATCCAAATTCCAAAAAGAAAATTATTGAATTTATGAAAAAATTTAATATTGTGGATGTATGGCGAGTGCTTAATTCAGGTACCCAAAGATTTACATGGAGACAAAAAAATCCATTAAAACAGGCAAGGCTCGACTTTTTTTTAAATTTCTGAGGAATTACTATCTATTACTGAAAATACAGAAATTGACGCTGGATATAGAACCGATCATTCACTTATAACTTTGTCTTTAAACGTTTCTGAAACAAAAAAGGGCAAGGGATTCTGGAAATTCAACAATTCATTACTTAGAAATACAGACTATGTTAAATGTGTAAAAAAATCAATTAGGCAGACCAAAGAAAAAATTATGGCTTCTCCCTATAATTTTGAAATGCTTAGTAAGATAAAATATAAGAACTTCCAATTTATAATTGATGATCAGATGTTTTTTGAAATGTTACTCTTGGACATCAGGGGCGTCACAATACCATTTTCCTCTCGTTTGAAAAAACAAAATCGGAAAAAAGAAAAGGAATTGGAAGAATTTATTAATGATACAGAGCGGGAACTATCCAAACAAAATTTAGTAACCCAAGAGAACTTTTATAGTTATGAAAATGCCAAAAAAGAACTGGAAGACTTAAGACAAAATAAAATTGAAGCAAGTAGAATTAGAGCAAAAGCCCGTTTTATTGCACATGGAGAGAAACCATCGCGTTATTTCTTACATTTGGAGAAAAGTAATGCTACCCAGAAATCAATAAATCAATTAGAGTTGGACAATAGTGAAACCACTAAAGACTAATCACGTATTTTACAATTAACTCACAAGTTTTACAACAATCTGTATTCAGAACAAGAATGTTGGGCTGAAAATGTGATGAAATACTCTAGTCTTATTCCTCCTCTATGTAATAAAAAGGCCAAAGCGATGGAAGTTTTTCAAGTTTTTTTTGGTCAGATCTATCTGCCTTTTTGATTAAATCTTTGAAATATGGCTTTCGATACCCAAAAACTATCACAAAATTAGGTGTTATTACCTTGATCCCAAAGGGGAAAAACCAAGGCAATACCTACAAAACTGGCGACCCATTTCGTTACTAAATGTTACATATAAAATTGCTTCGGCTTCTTTGGCTTATAGAATAAAAACAGCCATCCCCGACCTAATCGCTGATGATCAAATGGTTTCATTCCAGGGCGATACATAGGTGAACATATTAGATTGATTTATGATCTTCTACTCCAAACAAAAATATACAAAATTCCTGGTCTAAAGCTTTTTGGATTTGGACCTCAATTTATTAGATGGGTCAAAACGTTATATAATGAGGTGTCTTCTGTTGTTGTTATTAATGGTTTTCTAACCAAACAATTCGAAATAAAAAAAGAAATAAATAAAAGAAATAAAAATAAATAAATAATATTAAATATAAATTGTCCATGTTTGCAGACGACACCACAATCTTTTTAGATGGTACCGAAAGCGCACTGAGATCCACCTTAAATATTTTGGAAGATTTTAAGTCAATGTCTGGGCTTAGAATAAATATCGACAAAACCCAGACTGTATGGATTGGATCAAAAATAAATAGTACAGAGATCCTATGCAAGGATAAGAAATTAAATTGGATTGGGAATAACAATTTCTAATTGTTGGGAATCGTTTTTAACACAAATACAGATGACATGGTTGATATTAACTATAATAATACAATAAGTAAGATATCAAAAGTGCTTCTTGGTTGGTCTAAAAGATACCTTACTGTATTGGGTAGAGTTACTGTTATCAAATCACTAGCTTTGTCGAAATTAATTCATTTGATTTTATCTCTACCAGATCCAAGCGACAACATTAAGAAACAACTAAATAAAATTATATATAAATTTATTTGGCAAAAGGGTCCAAAAAAGATTAGTAGAAAACAACTGTCTAAGAACTATCAAAATGGGGGTGTAAAAAATGATAAAAATTAATGAATTTTTCCAAGCTCTTAAAAATTCATGGATCAGGAGACTCTACTTAACTGATGCTAAATGGGGAAAATTATTTTGGTTTGATGTTTCTAAATGTTGCCCCTCTGTCCTGGATTTGGTAAACTTCGATTTTGAAAAAATGGCCGGTAGTATGGAAAACCCTTTTTGGAGGGATGCACTAAAAGCATGGAAAATATTCAAGGTAAAAATAAGAAATGAGGATATATATGATGCTCTTAAAGAAAATGTTTGGTTTAATGACAACATTAAAATTGGTGATCACACATTATTTTACAAAGCATGGTACGAGAAAGGTGTAAAATATGTTAACGATTTCTTCGATAGTAAAGGTAAATTTAAAAAACGTGAGAAATTTTGTAAAGAATTTAAATTGAATATTAATTTTCTAAGGTATCTGGGGATAAGAAACGCTTTATTCCATGCGTATCCAGAACTTGAAAATCTTGATAGAAATTTGCATTGTCCATTTAGACCTATCTTATATAGATATTTGTTACAGTGTAAAACAGGATGCCAAATATTATATGTTGAGTTAATAACAGGTAAAAAGCACAAAGAACAATACAACAGTAAGGCACTAGAGAAATGGTCCAGTAAAATGAATTTTTTAATAACTGAAGCGGAATGGAAACAATTCTGTGTAAATAATTTCTTATGTACTCAGGACAGTAAACTTAGATGGTTCCAATATAGAATTTTGAATAATATCTTAACAACCAATAGTTTCCTCTTTAAAATTGGAATTACAGATTGTAAAATGTGCTCCTTTTGTTAGAACCTGAAACAATTGTTCACCTTTTATGCGATTGTCCTATGGTGTACCAAATTTGGAAAAAGTTTGAACAGTTTTTATTTCAACAATTAGGGCAGCATTTTAAATTTACAAATAAAGTAATTCTCTTTGGTTTTGAATCTCCATCTATCATTAATCTGCTGCTTATTTTAATAAAATATTATATTTATACAGCTAAATTTAGAAAATTTCCTTTGAACAATGATGGTGTTATAAATTTCTTAAAAGAATATTTTCTTTTGGAAAAACATATTTATCTTTCAAATTTTGAAATAACGCAATTCAATGATTATAGATGGAATATCTTCATCCCATTATTTACTTAACTATAGGCCGAGAGTACCCTAAACTACCATGTTAAGCATAAGACAATTTGTTTTCGTCATGATTTGTGTGTGTGTGTGTTGTTTTGCTTATAATTTGTTTGTATGTTTTTGAAATTACCTATGTAGGTAAGCGAACTATGTATTATCCAAATTCAACAGCTACATTCCGCATTGATTCATTAACAGTCTCGGGGGATGTTGAATTTAACCCCGGGCCTGGTCATGATCGAATTGCAAATAACAGGCTCACTCCTCTCTCAGTTTACTACCAAAATGTACGCAGTTTGAAAAACAAAATGGATATATATAGTTCTGAAC